TGTGATCTGTGATTACAGCACAGATCTAATCCCTTAGGGAATCCTGTTGTCTTCCTGTTGTCTCTTTCTTTAAAATATATTCCCGGTCTGTTCAATTCTTGTAGTTTTTTTTTTTTTTTGTACTGGGGATCGAACTCGGGACCTTGCGCTTGCAAGGCAGGCGGTGGAACCACTGAGCTAAATCCCTGGCTCCTATTCAATTCTTAATACTTTGCCACTGTTACCTAGTCAATGCCTCTGTCAGTTTTCACATGATTCATACTAATATTGACCAGCTGGCCCTGTTATTTGATTCTTTGCAACAGGCTTTTCTGTTCTTTTCACAGAGCAAACAGGATATAATTTTAAACATTTATTTTGTTATCATTTCATACTTAATATAAAAGTTGTATGAATCATACACAGAGCTACTTTATACCTTTTAAAAAAAAATTGTCAGTTGCTAGTTAGTATTTGGTCCTTTACTTTGTCTTACCTCGTCTTTTCTCTTCCTTCTGTCCGTCCCTCTCAACTATCAGAAAATGACCAAGCCTTTCCCCTCTGCACACACATACTTTACATTCCCATGTGTATGCACACATATGCATAAATTATTTATTTGTGTGTTTAATTTCCCCTAACTTTTTTTTTTTGGTACCAGGTCCTTGCACTTACAAGGCAGGCAGCAGAACCACTGAGCTAAATTCCCGGCCCTTCCCCTAACTTTTGAAAGCAAGTTGCAAATGTCATGCTTTTTTTTTTTTTTTTGAAGTTCTTAGTGCAGCTTTCTTAATACATTTTCTTAAGTAAACATTGATAAAAGTTTTGACATTGATAAAAGTTTGACATTGATAAAATATTGTTACCTAAGTCATTCTTCATAGTCATGTTTTGCTGGTTTACCTAACTATCTTAATAACTATTTTCCCACAATTTCTGATTTGATACAGATCACACATTATATATATTCATTAGGCATTTTATCTCTTTAATTGGGAATGGCTCCCCTGCCTTTTTTGTTTTTTCTTATCTGGATAGTTTGGAAAATTATACATTAGTTATTTTATAAAATGTGGCATTTTATTTTATCTGGGTTTCCTCATAATTTTAGCTCATATTTGCATTTTTAGAAAAGCTTTCACAGAAACAGCATTGTGTTTTTGTTTCATTAGATCAAAGTCCATGATGTCAGTTTGTTCTAATGTTAGTGATGTAAACCTGGGTAACTTATTTAATATGGTTTCTCTTAGTCTTATCTACTATAGTTATTTCCTTTTTATAATTATTGAGTAATTTGCAAAGAGATTTTGAGGCCATGTAAATTTTCTGTTCATTTTCAAACTTTCTTCCACTAATTTGAGCATCCATTGATGATTCTTGCCTAACTCAGTTTTTACTGTGATGATTGCAAAATGGTAGATTTCATAATTCCATCATTTATTTTATATTTATCACCTAGCATTGTACTACTAGGAAGAGCTGTCTTTGTTTATTCATTACATTAGTATGTACTCAAGAGTTCTTATTTTAGTCAGTGGTTTATAATTTCTTACTGTTATTATTTATTTTGATGCCCTAACTGTTTTAAATTTCACCAGGTAAGCTCCTTCAAGTGTAACTCAAATTTTGGAATATATCCTGTCACTTTTGAGGTGCTTTTTTTTTTGGTACCGGGAATCAAACTTTCTTATTTTTTGACACAACAAAATGTTCCATCTTTCTCTTCTATTTTTTTTCTTAGTTGTATAGTCAATAATTCCTTTAAGAAGCCCTTGTTTCTTTTATTAGAGAATGATTATTAGACTCTAGGATCTCTATACAAGTTTTCCTAGAGTGTATTGTTTCTAGATATTTTTAGCATACAGAGCTAGAGAATTACCTACATGTGCATATATACACACAGTCCTATATTTATTTGTATTTCTTACTAAAATCATGAATTAATATTGTTTTCCCTAATTTTAAAGAAATACCACAGAGTTTCTGCTACTCTTCCCTCTTTCTATTTTTGAACTGTTTTCTCCAACATTGAGAAACCTGACTCTCATTATCTTGAACATAATTTCTTCATTGTATTGAAAGCAGTTTCAGAATTCATATTCCCTCCAGGGGCTCTAAGGGAAGAATCCTTTCTTCTTTCAGATTTTGGTGACTCCAGATATTCCTTGGTTTGTGACTGTGTACCTCTGTTCTCTGCCTCTGCATTTAGATAGCCTCCTCTTTGTTTTTTCTATCTCTCTTTTTTAAGGATATTCACTATTGGATTTAAGACTCACCCAGATAACTCATCTATAGGTTTTTAGTTATGTCTGAAAATATTCTTTTTTCAAATAAGGTTACATTCACAGGTTTGGGGCACTAGGATATGGCATGTATAAGGATTACAGGTATGCGCCACCATGCCTGGCTATAAAAGGAAGTTTTGGGCAGATGTAAAAGCATACAAGAAGTCCCTGATGTGGGCACCTAAGGTATTTGAGGAACTGAAAGGAGGACAGTGGTAGGTACATGCTGGGTAGGAGGGAACACAAAATAAGTGACTTTGTGAAGAATACAAGAGCCAGAAAATACAATTTGTTTAGATCATGTACAGATTAGAAAGCTAGCAGAAGTTTATATGCCAAGGAGGGGCATATTTAGAATTATATTTTTTTAAAAGGTTAATTGATGGTTATGTGTAGGGAACAGGGAAAGGGGATGTTACTAGGACCTCTGCAGTAAGTCCTAGTCTCCTGAGAGCCACAACAGCACAAGGCGAATTAACTTATACAGGAAAGGTAGAAAAAAATGAGACTTTGAGAAGAAGCTGAGCTTTGGGCCTGATTAGTGCTGCTCTGGGCAGCAAAGAAGAAAGCCCCCAGCTTACTGCACCTTTTATTCAGTACATCAGGAGAAACAGATGTAACAAATGACTTACAGAGAGTTTAGTACATCCTACATCGGGATAAGTAAGGTGTAACAAATGACTTGCAGAGAGTTCAGTACATCAGCATAAACAAAGTGTAACAATCCAAGAACAATGAAGAACTGAGTAGATGAAGATTTTGTTCCTCCCAGGATGTCTTCAGCTGGTGTAATCTTGTCACAGCATCACTGGATCATTCAGGTCTCACTTGTGACTGGGGACCAAAATGGAATTACGTCTCAAAATGCCATAGCTGGCCTGTAGGCAGGAGAACTAGGCCTAAAATTATGTAGCATTGCTTCTGACAGTTATGTGGAACACATGAGGTAAGAGTGAAAATAAAGGGACTAGTGATAAATCTGATAAAGTACATAATAATTGGTGTGGAATCATGAACTAAATACTGGCTCACAGATGAGTGATAGTGGTGAAAAGAAGAGTGGATGGATTTGAGATGTATTTTGAATAAAATTGGCAAGACTAGTTGATAGATTGCATTCAAGTAGTTAAAAAAGTTTGGAATTAGGATTATGGGAGTATTTAAGGATGATTTTCCAATTTTTACCTTGATTAACTGGGAATGAAATTTAAAATGAATTGAGCAGTAAGAAGCGTGATTTCTGTATTGAACCTATTTTGTTTGAGATACCTGTGATATACAGTGGGAATGTCAAGTAGATAGTTGAATGCACAAGTCTTGAGTTCAAATGTGGAAAATGGGACCCCAGACTTTCTACCTAGTCTCTGTAGGTATTACTTCAATTCTTCCCTCTTCACTACAGACTGAGTGTCTCTACCTCTGTGATTTTCATTTGTATCCTGTAAACTTGAGGAGAATGTCAGGACTTGATTAGATACTATTTGATTTTTTTTTCCCGGTACTGGGATCGAACTCTGACCTTGCGCTTGTGAGGCAGGCACAGTGCCACTGAGCTACACCCCTAGATACCGTTTGAGAATTGGAGATGATATCCAGACACATATCTGGGAACTCCAGTTCTACTTCATTCTTTAAAGAGAGGCACTGCTATTTTTTTTTTTTTTTTGGCCAAGTAATTTTAATTCGTACATTTTGCTTCTTTTAATACAGTTTGATTTTGGACCTTGGCAGAATAAGAGACGCTGCCACTCTTATACCAAAAGTATTATGTTCTTTTCTGACCCCCCACCTCCATATAACTTACTGTATGAGGTCATGCTAGCTAACTTTGCTACCTGGAAGAGGAGTGTGTGTGTGTGTGTGTGTGTGTGTGTGTGTGTGTGTGTGTGTGTATGCACCCATTTATGTTTGTTTTTTTTTTTTGGTACTAGGGATTGAATTCAGGACCTTGCGCTTGTGAGCTGGCAGTGAAACCACTGAGCTAAATCCCTGGCTCCCCATTTATGTTTGATATGTAATCTGTGGTTGATTTGGTTGTCTTTGTCAGTTTTTATACCAGCATCAGATCAATTTTATTGTTTTTATGTTCTCTATATTTTGTAGAAGCTAATTTTCCAGATACTTTTTTCCCCCTCTTTTCTCATATCTGTTTTTACAGAGGTATTATGGAATCAAGATGGTCACTTATTTTTTTTTTGGAGAAAATATGGATTTTTTTTCTTTCTTTTTTTTCTGGTACTGGGGATCGAACTCAGAACCTTGTGCAGGCAGGTGTAGTGCCACTGAGCTACATCCCTGGCTCTCCTGTTTTTGTTTTTTTTAGAAAATACAGATTTTTAAACCTCAAACTCTTGCCTTTGTACATGCTTCCTATTCTTTTTAATTATTCCATTGAAGAAAAGAATCATGATCTTTAAAGAAGGGCCCATCAATTTTTCTTATTATATTTTACCTTTTTTGTCCCCCTAAACATAGCATGGCATTTCCCCCTCTATATTAAAGTACTTGTTACAAGTAATCATTGTTATAATTCTGAGTATGAACAGGGGTGATATATAGTTAGATTAAATAAAGTGAAAAAACTAATCATGTTATGAGATAAAATTGGGATGAAATAATACCAGCATGTATGTTTTTTGAGGGGCATAAAAAGTTTTACTTTTAAATGTGATATGTCAGTTCTTTGTCAGTTTAGCTTTAAACATCTTTTATTCTCTTTGTCTTTATTCTTTTAAGGGTCACACAGCAATGCTTCACACCGGCTCCTGGCATCCCAAAATAAAGGGAGAATTTATGACTTGCTCCAATGATGCGTGAGTATTGTTGATAATTTATCTAATACATTCATATCTTTCAGTATTTTTCTGTTTGTATTGTGACATTCTTGGAAGTAGAGTATTAGGAATCCTGATGTTTGTATATTCTTAAATTCGGTTTTAACTCATAGTATAAGGTTTGGTCAGTATGAAAATGAGAGTTGATATAAATTTCAGCAAAGTTTACCATGGGACACAGTGGGTCAAATTGATGCTATTAAGTGGATCCAAATAGCTTTGAAGTTGTGATTAATAATTTTTACTTTTTTCTAGTAAAGAGTGATTTCCATCTGAAATGAAAATGTGTTTTCCTCTCATACTGTTCAAGTTGGGCTTTTCCTCAGCCATAGTTTTATGACAGGATAAGTGAACTTTAAATCTTTTCTTTTCTTTTTTTTTCTTGGTACTGGGCATCAAACTCAGGACCTTGCACTTGTGAGGCATATGCCGTGCCCCTGAGCTAAATCCCCGGCAAGTGAACTTTAAACATAAATTTTCTTTATACCTATTCTTTACCACCTTTTAGATTTATCTGCTGTATGATCTTAGCCTTTGACTCTGAGATTCGTAATTAGTTATGGACTGAGCTGCAGAAGACCTGGTCCATTCAAAAAGTACTATATGCTCACTGTAGAGAAGTATAGTGTGATTTAAATCTCTGCCTTCGTGGGGCTTATGTTCCAGTCAGATAGCTGCTGGGAGGCAGACAAGGTCTACAGATACACCAAAAAATAAGTGATAGAGTTTTGAGTTGTGATTAGTGTTAGAGATAAAGTTAAAATAAAACAAAAGGATAGATAGAATAGGAGAGAAAGGATATTTAGGATAGTTAAGAGAAGACCTCTGAAGAAGTCATACAAAGAAGGCAGGAACAGGGGAAAGAGCTTTTCAGGTCAAAGTGGTGTCATAGAGATCTTGAGATGATAATCTGATATGGTATATTTGAGGCAAAGACAGACCAGTGTAGTTGAGATTTTGTAGGTTGGTAGGAAAAGAGTTTGGAGAATGTTGGTAGGAAAAGAGTTTTGAGGATGATAGGAAATGAGTTTGGAGAAGAAGGTAAGGGCCGGGCATATAAGGTATTGTGGGCTAAGTGTAAGGGGCTAGCGTTTAATGTAATGATAAGCCAAGCCATTTGAAGAGTACCCAATCTATACCATATCATTGAAAATTCAGTCAGTAGGAATGCGTTTTGGCAGACTGGCTAGGGAAGTAGGTGTAACTTGTTACTTGACAAGTTCTAGGACACATGTGCAGAACAAGTCCCAAAGCCCTGCATGTGGACTTCTCATGAGCAGTTTTGGAATTTTGGATAGGGCAGCTTAGACCTGATGTCAGCCTCAGGAGTGGGAGATACAAAAAGACAGATGCCACTGGGTTCTGGGCTGCTGTGTTCTTTCACAGTAGTCCTTTCTTGTGCTGTAGAGTGCACTGCTTTTCCTACTTTCACTTGACCTAACTCACTCTGCTGAGTGCATTTCTTTTTTTACCTTTTATAAATGTAAAACCTCTCTACCTTTTGCGCTTGTCTTGACCAGTTCTTTGTTCAGGACAGAAAGAACTTAGAAACCAGCTCTAGAAGGAGACTCCTGCACGCCAAAACCCGGTAATAGTCTCTACAGTGTGATAACATTTTCCAATGAGATAACATTAAGTGATGGCCTTGTAATAGTTATCATTCACTGACTGCTTACATGAACCAGGACTGCACAGAACACTTTACATACTAAGCAAGTCAATCATGTTTTCCCAACAGAAATGAGGTAGGTGGGCAGTAATGTTATTGTGTCTTCCAAATGAAGAAACTGATTGTCACTTTCCCAAGGACAAATAGTTCTAAGTGGTTGAACCAGGATGTGAACCCATTGTAAGTAGTTGTCACAAAGATGATGATTTTTGATTTACAGGATAGAAATTCCTTTCATATAAGGAATGGATACAAGACCTCACCTTGTAACGAACACTACAATATTCTCCCCATTGGAAGAACAAATTTGTTTTACTTTGAAGTTCACCAATAGGGGACCACTGTGTTGGTATCATCACATTAGCTGACTGTGAGGAGGATCAGGAAAGTTCTCTTGTGATTTGGGTGCGTCTTTACACTCTCTAGGCAAGTCTTATTGTTTTTTGAGGCATCGAGTTATTCTGGCTGTGCTGAAAGAGTAAACTATCAAGCCAGTGGCACATGATATTCACACCCAGGAATTTTTCCACAGACTCTCTTGTGATTTGGAGTTGGAGTGGTCTTCCACATACATTCTTAAGTAAAAACTAAAGGAAAACAGTGTTCTGGGTTAAATCAAAGGTTAATTTCTTTTGCTTCTAGGATTTCATCAGCATAAGCTGGACTGGGTTTTATTATATACCTATTTCCAAAGTTTCTAAACAATCTCAACATCACTTCCTTCCAATGCTTTTATATATCTCTCATTTAAAAGAATTTTTTCTAAAAGTATGTTGGATTTGGTATATAACTTTATTAAAATAAAGACATTTTATTCTAATTTAATCATAGGTCTTGAACTTTGCCAAATTCTTTTTCATCATATTTGATGTAATCTTGTTTCCCTCTTTGGTCTATTTAGGTACAGAAGTACTTTAATACATTTGATGATATTGAACCATTCTTGCATTCTGGTATTAAATCATACTGAATTGCATTGTCTTTTAAAAATATGCAGATCTATTAAGAAAACTTGTATTTTCTTTAAGATTTTAATTTTGTATTGACAAGTGAAAGGACTTTTTTTTCTTGTATTATTTTTATTGGTTTTTGGAATCAAGATTGTACTGGGATGAGCACTTTTCCTCCCCTGATCCCTTTTGTCATGCATTTTCTGCCTTTGAGCCAACCTTCGATGGACTGAATCCTCTAATAACCCTGAGCCAAAACAATCCTCTGACCTTTAAGTTGTGGGCTTCAGGTATTTTGTCTCATCAGTGGGAAGGTACAGTAGTGTATGTATCATCCTTAGAGATCAGAATCTTTCTGCTAGGATCAGTTATTATTGTTCTTTATTCTACAGATTTCAATGTTTTTTTTTCTTTTTTATGGAACTGGGGATCATACTGAGGATCTTGTGCTTGTGAGGCACAAGGCGTGGCACCCCTGAGCTAAATCCCTGGCCCACATTTTCAATTTTTTATTGAACAAACTCTGGGTTAACAGGATAAACAAAATTGGTAATACTTTAAATATTATTTCAGTGTGATTGTTTTAGCCTCTAAATAAAGGTTATTCACCTCAGTGCCCCCTGAGTCATTATAATGTTATGCAGTTAGTGCTTCGAACACATAGTGAATGTTTCCCAGGCTGTGAATGACAGCATTATTGGAGTAGAGGGTTAGTACAAGACATTCATGTAAGGAGCACAACCATGAATTAGTTTAGACACAGTCGGAGTGAGGAATAATTTGCCTAAGGTGGCTAAGGTGGCACTCACTGTTTTCTTCTGGCCTCATTTATCCCAAGTTAAATGTTGGACTTCTCATTGTGAGTTGGATATGTTAGTGCCTTAACTTTTCAATTGTATGGTTTAGTGTGAAACTTGAACTAAGATCAAGCTAATATAGGAAAGAAATAAGGAAGAAGATGGCAAGTCTTTTTGGTTTTCTCAAGTTTTCTAGAATAAAAAATAGATATCAAAGCAATTTATTGCATTTTATTTGGAAGTAAATGGTAATGAAAATTAGGTGATAATAGGAACAAAAATGCTTATTTATCCAAAGGAAGTAATTTCTACTTGTAAATTGACAAAATATGATGAGCCATTTTCTAATTTGTGCTAGTATATTGGAGTAGTTCATGAATGCAAGTATAAATAGCACTAATGTAATCCCAGTCTTTAGTACAGAATTTGTGCTAAGCAAATTCCAACTCAACACAGAGCTCTGACTATAGGTACTAGTGAATGAATCAGATGCTTTATTGTTTGAAAAGTTTTCATTGCTTAGGAATATGTATTTCAAGATTGCTTCAGATCTGTTATGACTACTTCTGCCTCTATCTGCAGTCAATTGTCATATTCACATCTTTGACTTAATGAGTTTTCTTGATGCTTATACCACTTCTAATTTTCTCACTTACAGTTATACACCTTGATTTTTTATGACATTTTAGGAAGGGGGGGTGTATGGGCTGAATTTTATTCCTCAAAAGTCATATGTTGAAACTTGACCCCCCAATATCTCATAATGTGACTATATTTGGTGTTAATATCTTTTCAAAGACAATTATGAAGCTGTGAGGGTGGATCTGATCCAGTATGACCATTGTCTTTATAAGAAGAAGAGACACCAGCGATGCACATACACAGAGAAAAGGCCTTGTGAGGACTTAGCAAGAGGGTGGCTGTCTGCAATCTAAGGGGAAAGGACCTTAGCAGAAACCAAACCTTCCAGGCTAAGACAGCTTGATTTTGAATTTCTAGACTCTGGAATTGTGAGAAAATAAATGTCTACTGCTTAACCAGACAGAAGAGGGAAAGTTAGAGACTTGCATAAAGGTAAAAACGTGCACATAGGAATGTATGGGGTTCCTTGTTTGAGACTTCTTTTCATTTTTTTATCTCTTAAGCTGATCTGCCTGCAGCTGAGATACATTAAAAAAATGTCTTAGTTACTTTTCTTGTTGCTGGGACAAAATAACCAACACCTACAAGTCAAAGGAGGAAAGGTTTATTTAGTTTGTAGAGCTTTCAGTCTATAGTTGGCTGCTCCAAGGCAAGGTGTCATGGCAGAGGGTCATGGCAGAGAAGAAGTAGTTCATGGCCTGGCAGGCAGGAAGCATTGAGGAGTGAACCTCCCTTTCCCTTTTATTCTGTGTAGGCTACAAGCCTATTGGTTGGTGCCACCCACACCCAGGATGGGCCTTCCCATTATCTACACCCAGAGCTATACTAAACCAATTAGTGGAATAATTTAGTTACCCCACCCTCTTAATCCATATTTACGCACTCTCAATCCAGCCATCTCTGAAAATTCCACCACATGAA